TTACCAGCCGTACCTGAGTCAACCATGGCTTTGCATGAAAAGTTCTTCTCATTGCTAAAGGCGGAAATGTCACGGAGAAATCTGCTTTGGGAATTGCTTGAAGACATATCCATTACACCTAAGACCTGTCCCCTTAAGGTTCTTAGGTGCATAAGTTTTCCAGACGTATAGGACAAGCATCTCTCATGTGTCCTTTTTTGCCACAATATAAGCAAAGACCCTCTTTTCTCCTATACTGCTTCTCTGCCTCAGACAGTCCTGTAACCCCCTAATTGCATAGGTTCGGGTTCAGACAGCGTTGGAAGACAAGAGACAATAGGTTTGGAGAATCGAGGTGCTAGTGACATAGTCAAACGTCTAGTTCTGTTTCTAGTAATTTTCCTGGTCCTGAGTCTATTATCGATCTGCATTACATAAGTAATGAAGTAATTATCCCCTAAGTTAGGTCTTTGGCAGCAATTTCGTCAAGAATATTCTCGGATAATCCTTTTTTAAAAGCAGCGATTAGTCCGTGATTAGTCCAGTCTACCTCAGATGCCAAAGTATGAAATTCTATGGCATAATCTAAGACAGACCGATTCCCTTGTTTGATATTCATTAAGGCAGTGGAGGCGTCTTCCTCCCTGCCTAATGTTTCAAACGTCAGTTTGAATTCCTCAAGGAATTCCTGGTAAAAATGAGCGATAAGGCCTTACCTTTAAGTTGGTTCATCAGATACCAAATCGTAGCTCTATCTGAAGGAAATTAACCAGGTGAGGCCTCAAAGTGGTACTCAATCTGATTGAGAAATCCCCTACATTCCTGGATATTACCAGAAAAATGTGGAGGGAGGAGATAAGGAGATCGTAAGTGCCTTATATAATATAGGTGGAGGTACATTAGGCAGCGGTGACATAATCAGAGAAGCCTAAGGTTGCAATGCTTTCTCATACAGAAAAATTGGAAAACTAGTGCACATGCATGGAAAAACAAGAAAAACAAACATCACACTGCTCCAATCAAATGGTCTCTATCAACTTGGCGTTTTTTGCAGAACCAATTATTTTAATAACACCATCTGCAAGGTAGGCCATATCAACTCATATAACTTGTCGATATCATTACTGCTCATGAGGCTGAATGGAAGTTAATCTTATCAACATCTAGTAAAATCCTTTTCAACAGTTATGGCTTAAATATCTGCTGGGGATCATATGAATATTAATTATGTTGTTCATATCCGAGTCATATTTTTTAGCTTTCTTCAAATAATATTTATCTGCACACCAGAAAGTAACTCTCATTTAGGAATTCGGCATGTTTTCAGGTTTCTATTTTTTGAAGTTCACTCTGTTTTTCCTTACAACAGATTGGAAGTTAGCGAATGTTGTGCCCATTTACAAGAAAGGTAATAGGGAGGAGTCGGGCAACTATAGGCCAGTAAGCCTTACTTCAGAGTGGGGAAAGTGATGGAAACCATGTTAAAGGATAGGATTGATGAACATCTAAAAACACATGGATTTCAAGATCAGAGACAACATAGGTTTACTTCAGGGAGATCATGCCAAACTAATCTTATTGATTTTTTTGATTGGGTAACAAAATTGTAATCAGGGTGGTGCAGTAGACATTGCTTACCTAGATTTCAGTAAGGCTTTTGACACTGTTGCACATAGAAGGCTTATCAATAAACTACAATCTTTAAGTTTGGATTCAAATATTGTTGAATGGGTAAGGCAGTGGCTGAGTCTTGTAGTTAATGGAATATATTCGAAGCTTGGACTTGTCACCAGTGGGGTACCTCAGGGATCTGTACTTAGACCCATTCTCTTTAATATTTTTATTAGTGATATTACAGAAGGTCTTGATGGTAAGGTATGTCTTTTTGCTAATGAACTAAGATATGTAACAGGGTTGATGTTCCAGAGGGATAAGCCAAATGAAAATGATTTAGGTAAACTAGAAAAATGGTCAGAATTGTGGCAACTGACATAATGTGGTTAAGTGCAAGATAATGCATCTTGGACGTAAAAACCCAAGGGCAGAGTACAGAATATTTGATAGAGTTCTAACCTCAACATATGAGGAAAGGGATTTAGGGGTGATTATTTCTGATGACTTAAAGGTAGGCAGACAATGTAATAGAGCAGCAGGGAATGCTAGCAGAATGCTTGGTTGTATAGGGAGAGGTATTAGCAGTAGAAAGAGGGAAGTGCTCATGCCATTGTACAAACACTGGTGAGACCTCACTTGGAGTATTGTACACAGTACTGGAGACCGTATCTTCAGAAGGATATTGATACCTTAGAGAGGGTTCAGAGAAGGGCTACTAAACTGGTTCATGGATTGCGGGATAAAAACTTACCAGGAAAGGTTAAAGGATCTTAACATGTATAGCTTGGAGGAAAGACGAGACAGGGGGGATATGATAGAAACATTTAAATATATAAAGGGAATCAACACCGTAAAGGAGGAGACTATATTTTAAAAGAAGAAAAACTACCACAACAAGAGGACATAGTCTTAAATTAGAGGGACAAAGGTTTAAAAATAATATCAGGAAGTATTACTTTACTGAGAGGGTGGTGGATGCATGGAATAGCCTTCCAGCTGAAGTGGTAGAGGTTAACACAGTAAAGGAGTTTAAGCATGCGTGGGATAGGCATAAAGCTATCCTAACTATAAGATAAGACTAGGGACTAATGAAAGTATTTAGAAAATTGGGCAGACTAGATGGGCCGAATGGTTCTTATCTGCCGTCACATTCTATGTTTCTATGTTTCTATGTTTCTAACAAAGTCCTGTTTGCAATCCAAAACAATGAATCCTACTGCAACCATAACAGAATAAAATATTCTTTAAAGAAAACTTCTTTATTGTGAAAATTATGTACATTTTGTAGCTGCAATTAAAAATAGTCATTGGATGGTACGAGAAACTTTCCTTTACAGATGAGTTTCAATTTAATTATTACCAACCCACTGCAACTGCACTTTTGAACATTTTCACTGAATAGATGATCTTTTATATCCTGCAAACATTGCACACACCTTTATAGGTAATTTGTTATAATGATTATGTGTGAGCCAACACAAACTTTAGACCATAATCCTTGGTAAATAAAACCTTTTGTATCTGTGCCCGCTAACATATTTTGCATCCATGGAAACTCTTGGTCATCACAGCAAAATACATGCCCGGATGAAATCATTATACTATCGCAATTTCTATTTTGATGTGAGCTAACGCTCATAACTCTTGGAGAGAACTAATTTAGAGAGGGCAGATATCTTTTGTAGGACTGCCATTACACTCTGCTTTCTAGATATGCTGATTTAGAAGCACATTATGCTCACAAGTAATGTTTACTATTTTAAGGAAAAAGAGAAACATAGGTAGAAAGATCATCAGTCTAATGAAAAAAACGAATCCAGTGGAAATATTGTGAAATGGAATCAGACTTTAAAGTAGATATCCAAACTTGTCACACTTTGAACGGGTTCTGTCTGAAGCCATTTTAATTCTTAACATCAGAGCATTCAGGCACTGCAAACACTTTAACGATGTCTACATTTAGCAATTCACTTAAAATGGCTCTTGAGGAAAGTGACTACATATTTTGAAGAAGAGAAATGAAAAAAAATTGAAAAAAAGAGTGTTGCAATTCCATGAATGTGGAATAAGTGGCAAAGTACCAGCTCAAGACAAAAGCCAACTGCAAGGTTTGTGATGGCAACGACAATGACAAAATAGTAGACAGAAGCTGAGTTGTAAAACATGAGCAGACAGACTGTTTGCCAAGTAGGACAGAAGAGACAAGTTTCCTCCTACACTGATTTAAATGCAAACTCATATGTGATTAACAAAAAAAAAAGAAAAAATATATAGTATAGTTTGGGATCTAAAAAAAATGAAGAAAAAAAATGTATATGAAAAACACAGTAAATATGTCAAGGTGTAAATAATAGTCAGCCGACAAAAATCTAGAACAATCGAGCTTTAGGAACAATGATTTTTTTGCAGAAGCCTCACCAACAAGAGGGTTAAACCAGCCCACACAGAAAAAAGTTATTTAATTTGTAAAGGTTACTGAGGAACCAAAGGATCAATGTAATTGTAAAAACATTCCAATTCAGTTTGATGGAATGGCATTGTTCATTTTATTATTATGATGGCTTGAGACCTGACGTCTTCTAAAGCTGAACTTAGTGATGTAATAGGTCATAGTTTTCATATGGCAATGAAGATCGTGGTCCTTGATAACCTGTGCTATAAAATTTAAAAGGACGTGCTGAAGATTCTCAACAGTGACAGTAGTTTTGCAAAACTATATGTGTTCTCACAGCCATTTATGTGTGAAACCAACATTTCACATCCTCAAAAACTGGGATCATTCCTCCAGGCCTTCAAAACAGTAAGGAAATCAGCACTGTCATATCTCCTCCCAAAACCTAAAAGCAAATGGATCCACTGGATCCAGCCTTATAACTGTTTTAGTGAGACCTTGACATCTTCTGCCTTTGGATAAGGCATGGGCTAAACATCACAACTTTACAACTATTTTCTTTTCATTAAATTCTCTTTATTAAACTCCAGCACCACAGATTTTTTTAATTTTTGTATTTTTTGGTTATTTTATATTTTTGATATGCAAAGGATAGGTACAAACAAGCTCGAGGTACCCCAACGGCAATCCTCTAGCATCCAATCGGGGTAGTAGATTGGATGTGCACAATTTATATTAGATTAATGGACATGCATGAATATTTAAGGTATGGTAGCAAGAATTAGTGAGACACGTTTACTGATGTGTAAACTATGCTAAACTTTCTGATCCTGACTAAATTGTATAACATGCTAGCTGGGTATATAATAACAGGCTAGGTATATAATAACAGACAAGTAGCGGGTTCAACCCCTGGAACGCTTCCATTTTTGTAGAGCATGTGTGAATTTAGTGAAACATGTTTTCAGATGTGAAGACTATGCTAGACTTTCTGATGCTGACTAAAATTGTATAACATGCTAGCTGGGTTTAACCCCTGGAATGCCTCAATTTTTGTATAGCTTGTGTAGACATAGGCAGGCAACTACAAGTCACTCAAACATAAAATGAACTAAAACATAGGATTAACGATATTGTCTGTCTGGATACAGACGGGCTTAAGTGTAGCAGCGTGTCCTTGTAGGTATCGTGCTTGGGAACATATGGCACTGTCAGCCAATGCCTCGGCTTGGTATAGCCGTAAAGTCCCTGGGAGCTACTGGGTTTTCTGTGGTAGTTCTGGGCGTGGGTTACGCTCGACAACCTCGCTGGGGGCCTGCGTCAATGTATCCCGGACCTGGGGTCTCTGAAACAAGTCCAAGTCTGTGCTTCTGCCTCTGTGGGAGCTATTTTGGGTGGGAGACCTTGTTGGCTCTCTGCCTGGGTGGGCTGGGTATGTGCTTAGGTGTTTGGTGGGTGGTTGTGCCCAACGGGGCCTCTTGCACCCCATCTCCTGTTCGCCTCCGTTTGGTCTTCTGTCCCCCAGCTGCTGCTTTTGCTCATACCTCCAACCGCTGCCAGAAACGGGCAAATATCTCATCCAGGTGCTGTAGCAGTCTATTGTAGCACACCCATCCTGCTCAGCCGGCAGCTGTCGCTTGCTACGTGGAGAGGTTATGTCCACCATTTTGGGTGGTAGTATTGTTTCTCAGGTTTGTGCAATATAAGCTGCCTGCTATCATCAAGGTGAGTGAGGCTTCTATGTGTGGACCGGGATGACCCCCATGGGTTCTGGGGGGGTAAGAAGGTGTTTCACCAGGGTCCCAGTCACTGCTTATGTGCTCGGAGAGCGGCCATCTCTCCGTGACTCAGTCTCATGTAGGCCACAAGCCTCGGTGTGTCAGGTTGGCTGTGCTGGAGCTCGAAAAAGGCACCATTTGATTCAGCAGCCTCTCCCGGTTGTGGGTATTGTGGTCTGCAGTCTGTGAGTGTCGATGGCCGGGTGTAGTACCCTGTTTTTGTCCCCAGACGTGGGAGCTTGTGCTGAGCACGTCTGGGCTGCTTGGCTGCCTGACTTATTACATTTTATCAAAAGACAGTAAGTAAAATCTATATACGGTAGACCACAAAAAAATATTGCTGCATCAGTAAGCAATTACAACAGACAATTAAATAAAACAAAAAATCCCTCCAGTTTTATGTCAACCCTATATAGTAGAAGAGTTTATGAATCCAATTATCTACATCAAAACTCTTTTTATCTGAGAATCTTATTAAACCTCCTTTCATTTTCAATTGGAACAATATTTGCTCTTTTATCATAGCCAAGTTTAGTAATATATCCAGTTTCTGGTGACTAAAATTTTGGCTGTCATAAATGTGTGAGTAAGAAAAGCTTTTAAATTTGTATTTACATTGATCAAATCGTAATGTAGCAAAAATATCTCAGGAACAAAAGCTAACAATATAGCCTCAATCACCCCTACCCGCTTACATCTCCAACATATCTCTGAGAAATCTTTATTCATTTTGGCCAATAAACTGGGTACCAGATAGAGTCTGTTAATGATTTTAAACTGTAGTTACATTAAATACAACCAATTAACAGTTTTTCCAGGTCTATTCTGGAATATGAATTAAATGATTTGGTAAATTTGGTGAAAAATCCACCAGTAGTCTAAAAAGGCAGATTGTTTGACTAGATCAGAAAATCTTTTAGCATTACTCAATACATTTATATTGTTTCCTTGGTTTTTTCAAACATTTTTAATCCAAATCTATATCAAGTATACAATTAAAGTCACCTATTATGACTATATGGCCTGATTTAATACAATCAATTTTATTAAATACTTTTTTAATGAATGGAATTGGAGACAGATTTAGGGCGTAAATATTTGACAGAGTAAATTTTTGATTATTAATTTCACACAGTAAAATAATAAATCTGCCTTAAATATCTATAATTTAATTAATTTTTAAAGCGATAACTCTCAAAAATATAAAGACTACTTTTTCTTCAATGCGGCACTTATGATGGTGGAAAATAGCTTTGAATTAAGCTTTTGTTTGTATTCCAATGTCCACTGAGTTTCTTGAAAAGCCCCAATATGAATATGTTCTTTTTTCAGGAAATCTAGTATGGAATACCTTTTTAAAATGTGAGTTAATTCCTTGTACAGTAATAGTAGATATTCTAATTATCCTTTCCCATAGAGCTTAAAATCATCCAGTGGGACTAAGAGGCTCACTGCTTTAAAACATATAAACAAGATAAAACACAACAACCAAAAGCATTTACACAACTCGGTTCCCTTACTCCTGTCTCTTGGAGAAACCATCTCCCCGAGTACCGACCAATACCCAAAAACTAAACACACTAGGCCTATGTAGAAACTGGGTGCATAAATCCTTTTCCCCTCACTTTTCTTCTTTCCCCACCCTTGCGGGGTGCTTACGACTTTAAGGTCTATCAACTCCTATTATTTTGAGCATGAAGGAAGCGAGAGATGGATAGAGAAGAAGGAACAGAGCAAAGATAAAGTAACAAAAAAAAAACATAAAGGCTTCCTAAATTCCTGCTTAAAGCCACTTATTAGCTTACGTTTTAAGTTTAAAATAATAATAAAAAAAATACTGTGGGGCTTCTTTGTCATAGTCATCCCTATTTATTTATTTCCCTTCTCCCTCTTCCTCTCTCACATGTTTAAAATGCCCAAGTGTAGAGTTATCAGTTAAGTTATGTAATATATAAATTTTGACTCAAGATAACAATACTCAATATTTTCTTGATAAGTCTGTGTGCAAAAAAAAAAGAATATTAATATTACATGATCAGTCTATCTTTCAAATTGAAACCTATTTACAGGATCTGTGTATATTATTAATCTGTTTAAATGAACTCATGATATAAAAATGTGAAAAGAAACAGCAAAATGAAATTGCAATCTTTGTGTAAAAACAACTAAAATCTACAATAAAAATATAAAATACAATAGTGCAGTATATATGGACACACAAAAGTGGATTAGTTGTAAGCAGACCACAAATTGATGTATAGAATATCTTTCTTCTCCCTGACCTCAATATCTCAGTCACATGTAAGGAGAGACAAATACAAACATAGTGCAAGACTGTGTAAAATGTGGACAACTTTAATATAATATTGCACTCACAAAAATCCAGTTAATTAAGGCACATTGAAAAAAAAGCAGTGAATGGAGTGGAAGGATCCTCTGCAACAGCATCCTCACCCAAACGAAATACCTTATTAGGAGGTGCTTAAAACAAAATTCAACAAAAACACATAACAAAATAAAAGAATAAAGACAGTCTGCAAGCCCCACGCTAATACGGAGACTTCCTCAGGGGCATCCTGTTTAAGAGTCTCTCTAGATTGCCTCCCTGGACTGCTCTAAGCCAATCCATTGGTGGAGCCGCTTCTCTTCACATCTGCATCGTGTTCTGTGTAATGTTGATATTGATACAGGTTCCCCACCTCGTTCTGCAAACCTGTTACGTATTTCCACCTGCGGAACATTTGTTTATAAGGGAGGATAACATATGAATAACACTATTAATATGTTACAGGTAAAAGAGAGAGAACCCGCTGGATACAAACATAATAAAAAATCCAGGTAAGGAAAAAATTAATTAAAATTAAATTGAAATAATATAAATTAAAAATAAAAATAAACTTGTGTCAGGATGTTATTGTGTGTGGGTGGCTTTGCCTATATGGGATTGTGACGGTCACCCCTGGGTAGTTGGGGTATTTAGATGTCCTTTGCCCCAACATGGAAGGGTGCTGTAGAGTCCCAATATGACATCCCAGTGTATTGGTGTGATAAGCAAGTTCCTTAGAGCTCTTAGAAAAGCTAGTGATCACAGCAGGTATAGTATTTCCCTACAACATGAGACGAGGCTGCAAGTTGAGGGTAAGAAGATCTGAAGGTTTATTGGTACAGCTTGGAGTTATATACAATTCCTAAGGCCAGAGGCACACCCCCCTGGACCTGATGGGGCACCAAATTACAAAATGTACAGACCAATAAAAGCAATGTACAATGTCTGGCACTCCCACATACTGCACGCAATCCCTCCCCTCTGTTTGGAAAAAAATGAGCAAGATACTGTAAGTAACTCAATTATCCACAAGCAGAAAAACCACATTTTACCCAAAGTATAGGAAAACACCCTAAAACACCACATATCCCCACAAATGTTACATCACCTGATAGCCCTGATCTGGGTGACCAACATATCCAAAAATCACCCAGATCAGAGCAGGGGTTCAGAAAATTCCTTGAAGTCTCTTTTGACTTCGGTCTATTTCCAATGATTAAAATGTACTTTGAATACTTGAACGGGACCGTTTGTGCACAAAGTCAGGGTTGAAGTGTGTTCGGTAGATTACTTTTACATAACGGCGCTCTGTTCGTGGGGATTTAGTCGAACTTAGCTTGAGGTGGAAGTTCTAGCAGTGTTCATGGCCGCGTTTGACTAAACAAGATGGCCGTGGCCACGTGTTTGCCTATGCGAATGGCAACCACCCAGCCCTTCGTCAATTAAGCTGCGCTTAACCACAACTTTTGGGAGGTTAACAAGCAGCAAACTTCCAATTATGGGTGGTCTGTTCTTTCAACATAAATTTCGGTACACGAACAACATGGAGAAATAGCTTCATGTTTGGGTTCGGTAGACAAAAGGGGGGGGGGGAAACAATATCTACTGGGCTCCTGTTACAGGGATGATGCTGCAGCATTACATGATTAGGGAGATGCAGCCACCACACATTTTAGATATGTCCTGATTCCATTGTACAGTGCTATGGAATTTGCTGGTGCCATATTAATAATTAAATAATAATAATTTAGATTTTTTTTTATTTTTATTTGATATCATTTTAATTTTAGTTTTATTTATTTTTTCCTTATATTGATTTTTTTATTATGTTTGTATCCACCGGGGTCTCTTTATTTTTTATGTAACATATATGTTAGTGTTATTTATATGTTAATTATTAATACCCATCCCTTCTCCCCTTTTTCAGTTTTTCCCCCTAATATACATGCTTACTATTGATGAGAATTGATAACATTTGGATTTTATGTTAAACGAGTTGGAATGCCTGTGGAACACATATAATCCAGGTATTTAGTGTATCGTAGAACACTGGTAGCTGTCATGGCGGCCACAGGCGGAAATACATCACTTGTTTCCAGAATGAGGCGTGGAACCCGGAAATCTATCAACATTACACAGAACTCGATGCCGATGTTAAGAGAAGTGGTGCCACCAACAGATTGGCTTAGAGCAGTTCAGG